AGAAATTTGGGAAGGGATGACATGGAAGGGAAAATAAATATAAAATAGGTGAAGTGAAGCGAAGCGAAACGAAGACAAGCAAGCCGCGACTCCGAAGCAAAGAGGAGACACTTGACGCTCGGGAGCTCGCCGCCCCACCCTATACGTGTAACGCCCGCCGTTCCCGAACGAGCCCACTTCACGCATCCGCGTTAGCGCGTCCGTTCCCATGGAACACAAATACGGTGGAGCACGCAGCATTCGCCTTCATCGTGCACTGCATAGCATCCACTGGCATCTCGGAGCGTGTAGGGAAAAGGAGATGCGAAATTGCGCGAAAATGGGGGAAACGAGCCGAAAATAGAAGAGGACGAGGAGAAGAAAAGAGAGGCGGGCAGGTTGAGACTCGGCCTCGGCCGCGGACTCGTACTCGTACCGCACTTCGAAATGAATGGAAAGGAAATAGAAGAAACAAGACGAGGCAGCGAAAGGAAGGAAGGCGGTAAGAGAAAAAACGGATAGAAGACTCCGGCGCGGACTCTCGTAGAGTCAGACGCGGCTCGCGGGGGCGCGGTCAGACTCCGCTTCTGCCTCAGCCTCGGGCAATACGGCTCGGGTGCAAGAAACAGACACAACGGCCGAAGAACGCAAACACTCACCGCACCTCAAAAACCCACTCCCCCCCAGCACACCAGCATCCCAACGCCCCCCCCCCCCGCGCGCTCCCACAGCGGCATCCCCGTGCGCAGCAGCACCGCGCCCACGCCCGCGAGCGTGCGGTGCGCGACGTACGACCCGGGCGCGGCGTGTGGGTCTGCGGGGGCGGGGAAGGGGAAGGGGGTCGTAAGGGTGTGGGTAGTATGGGCTTGCGCCGGTGTCGGTGTAGAAGTTGGTGTAGAGGTGGATGCGGGGGGCGAGGAGAGCACAGGCGCCGTCGGCGAGCGCGGGAATAGAGCGGTCGGCGAGCGCGAGAGTGCCGCTGGTGTCGATGTCGAGGTCGCCGACGGCACAGTGGGCGACGGCGAGCGCACCATCCCTTCGCGTCCTTTCGCTTGTCCTTGTCCTTGCGTTTGTCCCTGCGCTTCCGCGGAATGCATCATCGGCGGCGAGAGCATAGGCGACGTAGGCGACCCCGCCTCTTCCCCCACCCCCCATCCCGCCGGCCCACCCCATCCCCAGCGCAGCGTACACCCTCCGCGGGGCGCGGGGCGACCGCCATGCGCACGCTCGCGATCTTGCCTTTTCTCCTTGCTCTCCTCTTCTCGGCTGCGCCTCCTCTTGGTCCTCCTTCACTCCCGCCCGCTTCGCGCTGCCCATGCGTCGCGGGCGAAGGCGAAGGTGAAGAAGGGAGTCCAGCCTCCGAAAGCGTAGAGGAAGGGATACACGGATTGGGAGAGGACCCCGCAGGCGGCCACGGATCCCCCATCCCCCTCCTCCTCCCCTCCTCTCCTTCTTTCCTCCCTCGCCCCCCTCGCCCTCGCCCCCGTCAAGCCACTCGCCCGCGTCCAAGAGGTGAGGAGGAAACCCAAACGACGCGAGGCCCCGCCCCGCGAGCGTGTGCGCGCCGGGCGTGAAGAGGAGGAGGTGCGTCTCCGGCTCCGGCTCTGCGTACTCCGGGTGTGCGTCTTCGTCTTCTTCGTCTCCCTGATCTTCGGACGATGCGCCTGGCCCCGCGTCGCCCCCCTCGCCCTGCACAAAATCAGGACCATTCCAGAAAAAGAAGAGTACGAAAAATACGTACATCCCCAACAGCAACGGGACACCCAACCGCTTTGAATTTGGCGTGTTCTTCTTCTTCTCCTCCCTCTCCTTCGGCTTGTGTTCGCTCGTCTCCCTACCCACACAATCAATAACACATCTGCGCACGAACACAATGCATTATGCAATACGCACGAGTTCTTCTCCTCCATCCAAGGGCGTGGTACCCACGAGCGCAGACGCAGACCCAGCAGCCGCAGACAAGCGCGTACGCTCCCGTGACGCTTCCGTGCGATGGGCAGGTTGGGCGACGCGCTAGTTCTGCCTGTGCGTCTTTGCTGACTTCGTCGGTGGCGGGCTCTGTGGCAGTGAGGGGCGTAGGAGAAGTAGGAGAGGAAGGAGCAGAGGAGACAGCGGTGGAGGTAGAGGTGGTGGCATTGGGGGCGGGGGTAAACGCGGGGGAGGGACGCGAGGGACGCGAGGTAGAGCCAGACGCGGAAGCGGAGGTAGAAGTAGAAGTAGTGGAAGTCGCGCGCGCGCGGGGGAGGTCGAAGTAGGAGATGTAACGCTCGACGTAGAAGCAGAGGTAGCGTGTACACTCGTCGGCGAGGTAGGGATAGCAGTAGAGCCCTCCAGTCCCAGAAATAGCGGAATCACCGGCACATGCAGCCCTCGCCGCGCTTGCGCGCGCGACGACGTAGTCCTGGCAGAGCGGGGACCAGAAGTGGCGCAGGAAGACGACGAGCGTGCGGCGGCGCTTGGTGCTCTCGGCATTTGCGCCATTTGCACGGGCCACACCTACACCTACTTCCGGCCCATCTACCCGGTACTCGCCACCCGCCTCGCCATCGACGCCAGCTTCGGCTTCGGCGTCGAGCTCGCCACTCGCAGCCAGGAAAGCAGCGCTCATGCCTAGCAGCACTTCAAACGGGACGCGCACGCCGTTGGGCTGGACGAGCGGGAGGCGTGCCGCGCGCGCGAGGGCGGCGCGCGTGGGGGGCGCGAGCGGAGGGGCAGGGGTTTGGTGGTGCTAGTCTTCGCCGTGGTAGTCTTAGGCACGGGCGCAAGCTTGAGGAGCTTCCCGCGGGGCGAGGAAGGCGACACCGGCGGGGACCTCGCGTCCGTCTCGCCCGACGCGCGCGAGGATGCGCTCGACGCCGAGCTACACCCTTCCACGGGCGGGGGCACCCCACATCCGCATCCACGGCGAGCTCGAGGGGGCGCAGCGCCACGGGCCGCCCCGGCGGGAGGAGTCCAGGCGGGAAAGCAGCTGGCGCGGGCGCGGAGATGGTGTGTTTTCTCACGCGTTCACGGGTGGGCGATGCCGGCGGGTGGGCGTGGTGCGGGAGGAGGAGGCGCGCGAGGCGCGTGCGCGTCGGCGTCGGCGGCGGTGTCACGGGCGTCGGCGGCGGTGTCGCGGGCGTCGGCGGGGCGGAGGACTGCGCGCGGCGGCGGGTGTAGTGCGGCTGCGCGTTCGATGTCGGGGACGGGGCGGGGGCGCGGGGTCGAGCGGCGAGGCGGCGTAGAGCGCGAACGAGTGGCGCGGCGGCAGCGCCGAGATGCACTCGCCGTCGTCGTCCGCGACGGCGGCGAGCAAGGCGGCGTCGTTGGGGTCGACGACGGGAGCGGGCTTGCGGCGGACGCGGCTGATCGACGCCATGAAGGTAGAGGCAAGCAGCGAGGGGTCTCAAGCGAATAAAAGGTCGGCTTGACTTGCTGCTGCAACGCGGTTTAAGGACCAGGCTACACGTGTCGGATGCCTGCTCTTCGCTTTACCCATACAGATCCCACAGATTTCCTTGCAATGCATTTATCTTGTGGCTTCGTTGGTTTGCTGCTGGAGTATGCATCTGCGCGTCGAGCGAGCAATATGTAGCGGAAGGGAGAGATTTGCGCCGGGCACTAGACTGGTTGCCGCGCCTCGTCCTCCTAGACATCAACGCCCATGTTCTTCCAACCGCTCTGGCCTCGTCGGCCACCCCTGGCTCTGCTAGTCTCATCATCTATTTGCCAGCGTCGCCGCTGCTCGGTCTTCCGAGGGAAACCGCGCATCCGGTCCTGCTCCCGGCGCCACTAATGAAGCAGATAACCTCTTTTACTCGCTCCGTTGCGTATATAGGCCGAGCCGCTGGCGTCACTGGTCGGCTGCCTGATACTGATATAGCGGCCAAGGCTACCTTTTGACTCTGCCTAATTATTCCCGTGTCTCTTACTGCGTCTTGCCGTCGTTGCTGACTCTATTTTGACACCAATCCCGGTCGTTCCCTCAGCGAAATCCCGGAGTCGTTTATAATGAGTCAAGCCACTTATTAGGCTACTGAACGTCTCTAGGCGCGGGCGTCTTAATTCCTCCTACATCTCCCAAGCCGCCCGCGTTAATTCAGCTCTCAAGTCAGACGCGTCTGGCTCTCCAGTTAATTATCGCTCTGTTGCTACGAATCAGTACATCTATCAGCTTGTATCCGGTGACCCTACGAGCAACTGACGCCGCACGCTCTTGTTAGTTGTTTATTATAATGGCCTCGCAACTCATCCTACCATGTACATCCCTGCCTACCTACCTATGTACACCCCCGCTAAAGTACCGCCCATGTACGCTTCCCGCATACATGTAAAGACGAAAATTTGAGTCAGAGAGGGCGAAAAAAAAGGGAGTCGAAAGAGAAATCACCCGACCCCGAATCGAACGGGGAACTTCTGCATAACGCTTATCCTTATTCACCTATAAGCTGCAGATGCACACCTCGTGCCATCGAGTGCATGTTCTGTATTCCCCATCTCGAACTACCTGGTGCACTCCTGAGTAAATCTCGAAGCTTGAGGTTGAACTTCGATTCGACTCAAAATGCTCACACTGTTCGAGCATTCTTAACCTCGTTCCGAGCTGTCGTAAACCCCAGAATTAATCCATTTATCGATTTTCTGTGTCCTCAAAATGGAATCTAAGAGACTTAGGGGAAAAGTTAAGAAAAAAGCTCGATAAGACCAATCACCCGACCCCGAATCGAACGGGGAACTTCTGCATAAAAACTGCAAACAATCTGGGAAAGAGTAGCAGATGCGCACCTTGCGCCGTCGGGTGCTTGTTCTGCATCCCCAATCTCAGATTAACAAACACCTTGACTCTCCGAGATCCCATTCTGGCTTTCAAGTTGAAAATCAAATCAACTCGGGCACAAATGTATAGGCCCAGTCCTAGCCTCTTAGCTCATACCTATTATTTAGATTCATTGGATTTGAACGGCGAAAATAAGTCTCGACTGAAAAGCAAAAGAGAATATGAGGGAGGGAAACAAAAAAAAAGGTGCGGCAATTGGCGCGGATCACCCGACCCCGAATCGAACAGGGAACTTCTGCATAGAGCATATAGATGACTTGTCATATACTGCAGATGCACACCTTGTGCCACCAGGTGCTTCCTCTGTCCTCTCCACTTGTAGTTTATCTGTGTACAATTTGAGGTCAAAGGGAATAACCTTGAAAAGTCCAGGGGAACAAAATAGAGAGAAAACTAATCACCCGACCCCGAATCGAACGGAGCCCTTCTGCATAAGATTAATCCACAACCACTACATATCCTGCAGACGCACACCTTGTGCCATCAGGTGCTTGTTTTGTATCCCCCATCTGCACTTCGGGCTACCCCCCTGACCCACCAGTTAGGGTAGATTTTTATCAGTACTCAACTACCCTGAGAGGTCATTTTTCTGAGTGCATGTCCCATTTGCGTGGGATGTCCCATTGTCTGGGGGGGGCGCCGCAGGCGCGCAAAAAATTGCCTTTTTGGGAAGGTGTGGGACATCCCACTCGGCCGCAGGCCAAACGGAAAAATTGCCTGTTTGGGCCTTAAAAGTAGCCATATGGGATGTCCCATTCCCATTTGAAAAAAATGTTTTTTGCAGCTGCACGGTGCACCAGCAGTCCTGCTCATAGCTGGCCATGGTTGTCACCTCCTACTGGATGGCAGGGGCGAACGGTGGGTGCGCGTACCGTCGGCTGAAACAAATGTCAGCCGCAGGGACGAACGGTGGGTGCGCGTACCGTCGGCTGAAACAAATGTTAGCCGCAGGGGCGAATGGTGGGTGCGCGTACCGTCGGCTGAAACAAATGTTAGCCGCAGGGACGAATGGTGGGTGCGCGTACCGTCGGCTGAAACAAATGTTAACTGCAGGGACGAACGGTGGGTGCGCATACCGTCGGCTGAAACAAATGTTAGCCGCAGGGGCAAAAGGTGGCCCACGTTCGCTGGCTGTACACTCACGTCTCTGTGCGACCAACTGGGGCATGTAAACAAAAGGGACATCCCAGATGGGGTGGGACCTCCCTCCTTGTACGCGTGGGACGTCCCATTGATGCCAGGGATGTCCCCAGGAGCTGGGATATCCCACTTCAATCGGGTGGGACGTCCCTGCGTGTACATTGCAGGGTGGGACATCCCACTCAAATTTCCCTGGGACATCCCATCTTGCTTCCTGTAGATGGGACATCCCACCCGATCAGCCATCACGCAAGGGATGTCCCACCATCCATGGCGCACTTGTGGGACGTCCCACGCAGGATGTCGTTGATCGGAGGGACTTCCCTCCCCTGCTAGTATTAGTGGGACGTCCCACCTTATTTTTTTAGTGGACCTGTGGGATGTCCCAATTTTAATTCGAACATTATTGTTTCCTTAGTCCAGCAATTAAAGAATTAGTTGCAACAGGTCATTGGATCATTATTTGTATTACTCTATGCTGTATCGATTCGTCCCTACGAAATTCGGACTTGTCGCTTGCTCGAGGGGGATGCCGAGATGCCGAATGTCCAAATCGGGAAACACAACGCATATCGTCCCAAAAAGGAAATCACATCCGACCACCAGACGAAAAAGTGCATGCGTTGCATAAAAGTACCATAAACATAGACATAAGTATCATAAGTATTCAAAACGTTCCCCCATCTGTTACGCTCGACAAGGAATATAAAATACTCGACTATGGCCCATCCAGGCCGTGTATCTGTATTTCAGACTCATACCGGGCTCGATCACCCTCAGACGCCAAAACTAGTGTCAGTTTATCCGGCAGACGAGCGTAGTGATTTGTGTCGTGACAGATTAGCGTGTAGCGATCTGCCCGCGTGTGTGATGCCACCGGTTCGAAGCCGGTAGCATAAAAGACCTTGGTTAGGCCACCTGGGATGTTGAAGCGACACTTGTAGAGTTTCGGCTCTGGGCGTGCCACCGGTTTGGGCTCCGCGTCCTCCACTTCTCTCTTGCACTTTGCAGGACGAACCTCCGGAATCACCTCCAGCCGCGAACCCGAAGGTACACGAGAACCCGACTGCAACAGCCCTCGGCAGTCCTGAGTTCTCGGCCGCTTCGCTGGGCGCTCCTCATCCTTGGCGTGCGAACCAGAGACATGCCGGGAAGACCTGGCGTAGGGAGGTGGAGTTGCGGCACGGTGATAGTAGTCGGTTCACGAAGCAGCACGGCGCGGGGATGGTGGGCGTTGGGATGGATGGTGTTCGGGGTACGTGGGCCACTGGGGAGATGGTGAGCGCTGGGGGTAAACGTGCCGTGAAGGTCCTGCATGGGCTGGCGATGGTGGGTGTTCATAGTAGCTGTGGCGCGAAGAAGTGGCGCGAGGTCGAGGTAGTGCAGCCACCGGATGATGGGGGTATTCCGTCTGCCAGGCGCCACGGGGGGGGGACACTTCCCGCCGCCCGTACCCAAGGGACTCGCCGGAAGGTGGCATGGCCACCCTGGGTCGCATATACTGGTCGTCGCAGGAGTACCGTGACGGCTCGTATTCCTCGTGGCGGAGCGGGGCTGTGTGGCGTGAGGGAGCATGCAGGCCTTGGCGATGGCCTTGCGTTGCCACCGGAGATCGTTCGCGAGCGGCAGGCAGTGGGCGTGCACAGGAGCGTGAGCAGGAAGAGGAGCGGCGGGAGCGGGAGCAGGAGTGGCGCGACTTGGACTTCTTGGGCACCGGCGGTGCGTGCTCCTTGGCGATTGAGTCGTTGTATGCTTTGCTGTCCTTCACCGCCTTGAGGGTTTTGCCGTTGACCGTGGAAACGAGCGCAATCTCGCGCTGTTCTTCGGGCGACATCTCTTTTTCAGCTGCAATCCAAGTCAGCTCTAGTACCCCTGTGGACGCCACAACTTACCATCTTCCCAAGGCACCATCATCATTACGTCGGCGTCGTCGTCCCGGCTATTCAACTGTGCTTTCTCCAGCGCGGGCATGAACTCCTTGTACTGTGCGATGCCGATCTTCTTCAGCCCGAAATCTCCCCCAATGACGAACTGCAGGTCGGCGAGCACCGTGGGGTAATTGACTAACTTGAATTGGTTTTTGTACGCCAAATCCAAGAACTTCGGCCCCCATACCATCTTGAATTTGGCAGGGGCTGGTGGGGGGCTGCCAGCGGCTGTGAGCGACCTCGCTGAAATCGTGTTAATTATGGAAATAAAACTGGGGTGAAGGAGACGTACCCAGCATCGTCAACATAATCCTAGCAAAGAGACGTCGCTGCACGTCGCGTTGACCCTCCCCTTCCTTGGACACGAGCTCTTGCAGCCGAAGCAAGCCCATCACGGGCGGGCCACCATTGCGCGCGCGTTTCTCCATGGCGATGTGACTAAAAGCACTCTCGTTAGTTCGCGATCCAAGCCTGATACACCCGAGGTACCCCAAAATGTGCTGGTAGTCCATCATTCCCTCAGTGAGCGTCGACTCGTACTCAGTCAGAAGGGTTTTGAACTCGTCTGTCGCTCCCCACATAAAACTTGCCTGGCCTCCTGTATCGATCACAAACCCCCAGACGTGGACGCCCATCGTTTGAGAGACGAGGCGAGCCTGAAACGTAGCGGTTAGCGGGAGGCTGGAAAAGAAGCACATGCATCAACGCACCTGTCCTATCAGAGGCTTCATGGCCTTCGTCACTTTGGCTTTGAATGTCCCCTTGTCGCGCCATTCGGCGGTGGCGTTGGCCATTGTCTTGTCATTCCACTCCTTGATCTCGGGCATCGCTGTATAGAACGAGTCGAGATCCTTTGTCACCTCGCGCCCCAACGCCCTGAATCGCGCGTTACATAGTGCGTTGTAGTCCTCGCCGGTCACTGAAAACGATTTGTCAGCATGATTTGTCAGCAAACCCAATTGGGCGATATCGCAGACTTACTGTCGTCGGGCTGGGGATGCGCTTCCGAGTGGTACGACTGGTATAGGTTCCACGGCGACGGGTGCTTCATCCCCTTCACATTGCTGCCGACGCTCCGATGTAACGTGTCGGGGGACTTGCCGCATTCCTTCGCCAGTGCCTTCACCTGGCCCAGATATGAATCATAGGCGTTGATGAGATGCTCTCGAATCGGAGCGGGGATGGGGCCTGATTTGCGTGCGCCCTCACTGTCGCCGTCGCCGTCGACATCATCAAGCGCGTCCTCGCCAGTGGCCAATTCCTTCTCCTTCCCCTTCCCCTTCTTCTTCGACGTCTTCTCGCCCGCCACTGCCTTCCCCTTCCCCTTATTCCTCTTCGTCGCTGTCGTCCCCTTCTTCTCCTGCCGCTTCCCCTGCTGCTTCTTTTCCCTCGGATTCGGTAGGTCCTCCTCCTCCAAGCCGTTTGCCTCGATCGGATCCTCCAAATTGCGGAGATCATCTGCCTTGTCTTCTTCCGACCCGGCAGGATTGGTATAGCCACGCGCAGCGCGCTTGTCCAAGGCGCACTGCTTTTCCGCCTGCTGCTTGCCGTAGTCATCGTCGCTGGCAGAGTCCTCGGACTCCTCTACGCGCGGCGGTGAGGAAGGTGGCAAGGATTTAGAAGCGCGCCGGGGCGGGGGTAGGCGAGGACTACGCAGCAGGGCATCCTCAGACTCTGTACGAGACGGAAGAGCAGTCCCACGGTGGATGGTGCGGCTACGACCACGAGTGGCGGACAACTCCCGCGAAGGTGATCGACCACGAGCGGCTGACAACATCTGCGACGGCGACCTGCCACGGCTACGAGGAGGTGATAAGGCAGGGATGGTACGTCTGCCAGGTGGCAGCGATTGGCGGGGAGGTGAGCGGGCGTCGGCGGAGTGGGGGCGGCTAGGAGTTTGGGGAGCAGGCGCTTGGGGATCTGGCGAATGCACTCGGGACGTAGGGTCCGCAGAATGATGACGAGGGCGAGGGTGGGGCGACGAAGCGTGATACGCAAAGCCTCCGAAAGCATCGTCCGGCTCTTGATTCTCGTCGAATTCGATGTACGTCTGCGTGTTCAGATCTTCACAATCGATGGGCTCCGTCTTCACCGGGGGAGTGTAGTCGTACTCCTGATCGTCGTCGATTTCAATGTAGGTCTGGCCGCCGTCGGTTTCTACTTCCCGTGGCCGAGCAGTTGGACGACTCGCGAGATTGAACGGATCGTCAGCGAGATTGTCGCTGGGGGGTACTTTCTTGCCGCCCGTCGGCTTAGCATGAGGTCGAGGAGGACTGGCAGGTGGTACTGAGGCACAGCGCAGCGCGTCCAGGACCTGGGAGCGAGTAATTAGCTTGGATGCGGCATTTACAGTAATTGTCCTTACCACTGCAGAGCCCGCGGGCGTGTCGTCCCCGGAAGTCTTTTTCCTAGAGCGACCTCGTCTGACTTGGCTGGCATCGTTATCAGTCACGGCGTCCTGGAAAACATTCAGTCAACGGACCCTTGTAGCTGGAGGAACTGGACGTACTGGCTGCGCTGGCGGCTTGGTCTTCATTTGGGGTTTAGGTTTGGGTTTGGTCCTGGCCGGCGACAGTGCTTTCGACAGCTGGGGGTTTCTGGTGGATCGGGTTGTTCGCAGGTTCATGGTTTCGGGGTATGCAGAGCGTTGGGCAGGCGTAAGTTCGAGAGGTAGCTGGCGGCGTGTGCAACTTGGCTGGGCTCGACCGTATAGTGGGAGCGGGGAATGAAGGGGTGGATTGGAAAAAAGGAGTTACGCTGCAGTCGTGAAGCGTCAAGTCCAATCTTGCGTGCCACCCACACACGAATTGGATGCGAGCGCCGCGTTTCCGGTGGCCACCCACATCTGCATTGGGTAAGAACACTTTGCGCGATTGCTTGGGTTGCTCAATTGGGTAACCCTGGCGCAGACAATGTGAGCGTCGACCACCTATAAGTACGGCTGTCCTACTCACCAGAAGGACAGCATATTCCTCTGCCCCGCCTCGTCGCCTCCCTTACTTGCGCCCTGTCTGCCGTCGCCTTTTCTCTCGGTAAGCCTAACGCCATCTTTTCATTATCAGCGCGCTTAACGTACGTGTTCGCGGTTTAGTCTGTGCCCCCTCTGCGCCGACGCGCCATTCCCGCCGTGCGTTATCTCCATCCCCCGATTGCCCTGTCGCTCATGTCTTCCTGTCTGCCATAGCCTTTTCTTTCGGTAAGCCTAACACATCTTTTCATTATCAGCGTGCTTACTGTCCGTGTTCGTGCTTTAGTCTGCACCCCCTCTGCGCCGACGCGCCATTCCCGCTGTGTGTTATCTCCATCCCCTGATTGCCCCGTCGCTCATGTCTTCCTGTCTGCCGTAGCCTTTTCTTTCGGTAAGCCTAACACCATCTTTTCATTATCAGCGTGCTTACTGTAGGTGTTCGCGGTTTAGTCTGCGCCCTCTGTGCCGACGCGCCATTCCCGCTGTGTGTTATCTCCATCCCCCGATTGCCCCGTCGCTGATTTGTCCTTTACCTGCGCCCTGTTTGCCGTCCTTTTTGCTCTCGGTGAGCCACACAATCCTTTCATCATCAGCGTGCTCACCCTCCGTGTTCGCGCTTTAGTCGTCGCCCTGTGGGCCCACCCGCCATTCCCTTTTCCCCTTCCTCTTTTTCGTTCCCCACGTCTCTCGCGTCTGTTTCACGGCCCAATTCTTTGCTTTAGAGTACTTATTACATTGCTGTATCACCCTCGCTGCGTTGTCGCCGCCCCCGTTGCGTCCCTGCGCCCGCCGCACTACATGATCCCGCCACTTGGTGGTCAGGATCAAAAGGCGGGTGGTGGCTGTGCACCTGTGTCGCCATGTTTGTGGTGACTCAGCTCGGTCCACCGTCCCGCCTTCCAGGCTGAGTCACCACAAACAGGGCGGCACATCTGGCACAGCCACCTTCCCCATTTTGCTCCTAACGCTCACCATGCCTGGGTAAGTCATCTGTTCTCGTGTCTCGTAGTTAGTAGATAGTTAGCAAAGCAATAAATGATGAACGTGCACCCTGTCGTCCCTCTTTTGAGCCACGCACTCGCCAGATAAAGCGCCAAAGCGCGCAATCCTACGAATAAAGTGCTGATGCGCCATCTTGCAGATCGTGCAACCCATACGTCGACGACCGCGCTGAGGATGCCGAGGACGAGCTCAGCGACAACACCCCCGACGATCCCGACAGCCACGAAGCGCGGATCCGCCAAGAGGACGAGCGAGACTTCAAGATGCCGGAGATATACAGTGGGCACCCATCGCGATTGGTGTCGGACGCGCCATATCGCATCCCCCACCAATTGCTCGCCCCTGCGGTGGGCACATCTTCGCTCTCGCCGCACCTGGCTCCGCCGCTCGTCCCTTTGGAGGCGCCCTCAAAACCGCGTCTTTTTTGGCAGATTCGTGCGACCCCACACCCGCCTACGACCTACCGCGCGGCCTTACTCCAATGACTAACCCAGCATCCTCGCCCAGGCCCACTCCTTTCCTTCCGACGCGCGCTCAAAACCGCGTCTCTTCTTGCCAGATTCCCGTGACCCCACACCCGCCTACGACCTACCGCGTGGCCTTACTCCAATGGCTACCCCAGCGTGGTCGCCCAGGCTCACCCCTTTCCCTTCCAGCGCACCCCAAGCATCCTCCAGTGTATGTCCATCTCATATATATACTACACATCTCATCTAAGTATTAATTCGCAGAGTACGCGTTCCCGGCCATCCTCCCCCGACCCCCAGCATCGCAGCAAACGCCCTCGCCTCCAATACAGTGAGCCCCTCGAGCCCCCGCCCCTCAGTAGGAGGGGATTTCGCGAAAGGTCTCGGGTACTGCCCAAGAGGCTATTGCGAAATGTTTGGGGAAGGATTAAAGGCAATAAAAGAAAGGCAGCAATGGTATTCGAACCCAAAACCTTCTGGTTACCATCAATATTAAGAAGGTAACACTACAACCAATTACACCATCAAGGCCATCTTTTTTTGTACTTTGCACATGACTATAGTATGCAGTTTTGAAACACAAAATACATAATAGGCTTGTTTCAACACACACTGGGCCCTGCCTTAGGGGCCCTGGTTAATGTTTAGAGTTCTGGTTAGTGGTTAGAGTTAGTGGTTAGGGTTGGTTAGGGCTTAGGGTTCAGGGATATTGAAAAAAAACTTTGGAGGTGATTTGTAAGCTTTTGATGGTTAGCTTGGTTAGGGTTGGTTAGGGTTGGAAACCTTATCAAAACACATAATAAGCATGCCAATACAGTTTCAAAGACCTAGGGCAGCTTGCCTGCCCTAGGTCTGGGTATTAGCTAGTCCCACTTAGGGTAAGGGCACCTTACCCTAAGTGGGACACAAAACTATTTTGTTATAGCTATTCTGGTGTAGTTGGTTAATACTCACTACTAAAATCCTTGCTGTTATGGTGAGGTCACTAGTTCAATCCTCACTTTTGGCAGTTTTCTACCATTATTTTGCTTGGAATTTTCCTTTGATTATATAATACCGATCCTTCCCCTAGATTATCGCAATAGACCCTTGGGCAGTCCCCGCAAATTATCGCGAAATCCTAACTTAATGAGCTGCCCCTCGACCGGAAAGGCAAGGCTCCCGCAGTTAGCGCGCCAGGCATTGCGCAGTTCCTCGACCTGCAGGTGTACGAATCGGACCGCGAGGACGCGCCAGACAACGAGTCTGACATGAGTGACTCAGATGTCGGTGAGTATTTAGCGACACATCCGCGACAGCGCCTGTTGATTCCAATTCTTCACAATGTAGCAGATTTCATCGATGATCAGCCGTTGGAGGAGGGCAGCGTTCACCTACCGCACGTCGTGCAGCTCGATGATGGGGAGGGCGACCGGAGGCTCGCGCTGTATTTCGAGGATGCGGCTGCAGGGCATTATGGCGAGGGCGATGACGATTCTGGTCGTGAGGACTACCTCTCCGATGACGAGGAGCAGGCGTCCCTTCCAAAATCCGATCCCCAGCTGCTGAGCGCTGTGTCTGAGGCGGTCCGCCAGGTGTTCCCTGTCCCACCTCCCACCACTGCACCCCGAGGTTTTTTGCCCATCGGCACTTGGCTTTGTCTGCGCAACAAATATAAGTCGAAGTACCGATCTCTCCTCGCGATAACGGTTTGTTTCACGCAGTGTGTCATACGACGCTGCCCGGTGGACCCGAACCAAGACACCTGCCGGATCGTCGATGATGTTGACCCACCCCTCCTCACAATACACTATTCTCGGCGCGTTTACCCCACCGTCAAGGAGCTCCTCCCCTTCCAGTGCAGTGCGCTCAAAGAACTCGAAGGTCTCATTGACTTTCCTATCCCCAACGGCACCTGGATTCGGCTCAAAGGCCGAAAACGCAAAGGGCAGCTGGCATTGGTCCTTTCGCCCACCAAATGTCTGGTGGCGCGCCCGCGATACGAAGAGGAGATGTGTCTACGCCCGACTGACGACCCTTGCGAGGTTGTCGAAGTTACGCCGCATCTTCTAAAAAAGAATTACACCGCCGTCATTCCAACCACTGATGAATTAATTCCTTTTGAATCGTCTCGCGTTCCTCAGCTGCACGGGCTTCAGTGTCAATTTCCCACCACTGCACCAACCCTCGGCGATCACGTCGTCCTTGTCAACCTCCCAGAAAGCTTCCACGGGAAAAGCAACCGCCACAACTTTAGTAACGGAGATGATGCTTGGATCCTGGCCATCATCGACGATTACAAGTTGAAGTCATTGACTCAAGATTACACCGTCAGCGAAGACCAAGCCGCCACCACCACCACCCTCCTCAGGCTCATCCCAATGAACCCGGAACTCTCGGTCGACCCAAGGCTATCTCAACCCGCTCGCTACGAACATCGCGACTCTCGGTTGGTGCTCCCAAAGTGCGTGGTGCGCCATGCTGTCAGCCCTGCACCTTCTTTCTGTGTCCTCGACCGGGTGAAATACCGAATGACCAACGGCAATTACATTGGATGGGTTACCGCGGTGAATTGGCCGTGGGTTACCATCCGGGGTGTCGACAAGAAAACCAACAAAGGAATTACATACGACGCCGAGGCCTGGCAGGTGTGGAGATGGTTTAGCCCAGGAGACGCAGTGACTGTCACTGCTGGCGAGCACAAATCTCGTCAAGGTATTGTCGTTTGTGTTGTGGCGGCTGGTTTTCTCGAGATCTTCGATGTATGTTTTCCTTTTCCCAAACGCCTTCGCAAGTTCTTACCGATCCTTCTTAGGCCGAGGCTGTTTCATCTGGTGTAGATGCTGAGGAGCTGCCGCGGCTGCCCATCGTAAGTTTATTTTCTCATGTGCATAGTGCGCGTTAACTAACTGTAACAGATTCGAGTCCGGCCAGCGCATGTCGACTTCCACATTGAACTGGCGCCTGATGCGGGCGACTATAGCCGACGCGTGGCAGTTCTTCACCCAAACATGCCAGCACCACCGCCACCTCAAAGTCGACAGGCAATCAAGCTCGCTACGGCTGCCGATGAAGCCGCAGACCTGGCTGAGCAGAAGGCCCGCGCAGCAGCATTCGAAGCTGTCTCTCCAGCGGACTTTGCGGCTGTCCTAAATGCTCAGGCAGTGCTGAATCAAAAACGACAGTCACTGAAAAACGTGGGGAAAAGGTTCGAGAATATTCCCGTAAGAGTGGTGGGACACAGTGCGCACAAGGGCAAAAGAGGAAGGGTGGTGGGCGATTTTGACAGTGCTGAACGCTCTGACGCCTTAAAGGCCCAAGCCTTGGAGCTCCGCAAGCACATTCATGGCGATACGCGGGGCATCATGGTCAGCTTCAAGGAAACGATAGGCAACAGGCTAGTGACTGTCCCCATCGAGCAGCTCGCCCACGACGCATGCGCCATTATATTATTGACCATCTTCATATTTTTGACATTTTGAACTATCTACAGCATGCGTTTGCCTTTGGCGCAAGCCATATATCTACCGAACAAGGTTCTGTTCGCCGAAGCGACGAGAGGCGCGCCTCCACCCCAGCAGCAAACCCGGCCTCCCACCCCGCCCCCATCCGAAGCAGAAAACATCCCATCGTGGGGAATAGACCGTAAGTCTATCGTTAAAGGCGGCCGAGCAATGATCGAATATTTTCACAGAAGAGTTTGAGAGTGCACGCCTTCCGGGCGAAGACACGGGAGAATGGCTATGCTCGGACGCCGTCGTGAACAAACGCATCGATGTCTTGATCCAGGGCATCAAGAGCTTCGGTGGTTCCAACAAGATGAAAGCCACGCCCAAGCTCATGACCCTTGAGGGAAACATCGGCATAGTGATGTCCAATGCAAAACGCCGGGCTGTGTCGCTGAAGTTGAAGAAGATCGATGTCTTTCGCATTGGCCCGCCTGCTGGGAAGCAACAGCTGATGGAGCCTGTTCCCGGCCCCTGCCTGAGGCCAACGACGACGGTACTTCAATAACAACGACACAAGGACGTGTTGTTGTATTGGGCCCAGACGTTCAAGGCAATGCGAGTGCTGTTGGTCAGTACGGCGAGACTCAGCCGCTGATCCCCCACGACCACGGACAATATGTGGTCGCCGTCAGATTCCCCGGCGCTGGCCATTGTTTTTACCACGTCCTTCATCTGTGCCGTTCACTCAACGAGTTGGCGTACTGTGGCGATGGCACGTTTCCAGTCACTGTATTTTAATATTGTATAAGATCTGCATTAGATATGCCTGTAAATACTGTACAAACTGGCGAACTAGCGCGTAATTTGTTAATGACAGCGTTCATTTGTTGAAAAATCAATATTTACTGGTGTGAAATTCCTTACTGGCCCCACCGACACCTGAAAATATACCGAGAACGATGTGCCGGCGTGCCAGACGCGTTCGAGGCGCATTGTACACTAGTCACGTGGTCGTATGGCGCCGGCGCGGTTCAGCCGGTGCTGGTCACATCAAGTGGCGCTGCATCAATCACCGGCGCCTATTTCTCTCTTGCTCCTGACTTCCATCACCACTTACAGACACGTCGTGTGTACTGTAGAGTAGCATCTCCGTTGTAATTGTAGCTTACACGCGTACTATACTATCGCTTACACGTAGTTCTCCCAATTTTAATGTGGATTTTGTGCGAGTGAAATTTGAGTGACACTGACAAAGCTCTGTGGGTGGCACGCGCACGCTCTCTCCAATCAAGACCCCTCACTCATCCCAATCATAGCACCGACAATGCCAGCGGGTATCCGGCTCACCAAGAAAGAGAGGCGTTCTGCGCAGCAACCTCGGGACTACTGGACCCATCCAGGTCCCAGCGTTGCTCACCCGCGGGCAACGATTCCACCCCACATCAGCAGCTGCCCCAATATTATACTCCCCAATGGGCGCACCCTTGAACAGCCGCGCCTACCGCCATTGCTCCGGCACCCCGTGTTCACCACCCTTAACGCGGATGAACAAATCCCAGAGGACGACCGATACATGGTGGCACTGGAACATACTCCACCCCCGGATCCCACCCAGCATCAACGCAAACGGGCGGCTCAATGGCGGCATTGGCAGCTTGAAGTCATTCCCAACCTCATCCCCCACTTCGTGCGCATAATGCACGAAACCAAATCACTACGAGACTGCGGCGACCTTGCATTACCGACCGGAATTCCCGAGGGGTGCTCCTGCGTTGCTGCCAGAGTCCACAAGATCGCTATTGTGCGTTTCTGCGGTATGTTTTCAGTATACCTAGCTTCATCGCGCTAATATAAGTTGCTCTTCCAGCTGTGGAGGACGTGCAACTGCGTATATGTCCATGCTCGCCGGCCGCCGTGCAACTCATGAAGTGCGGTGCCTTCCCCTGCGCACCGATGCAACCGTCGCTGGCTGTCGACATGCGCGTCCTGGAATTCTGCAAGAACCTCTTCCTCCACATCGCGCCCAACAACACTGCGTTCGCCACGACGCTCGAGCGATGTTTAAGTAACATGGGATTCCAACTGCAGCACCAGGTACGTCTCATACCACTACGCCTACGATTTCTTCTCACCGCTTTGAGCAGAACTCTTTGCGCAGGCGGTTTGGCAATTGCGTTATGTGGTATATCCACCTGCGCAATGAGACGAAAGACCATTACCGCAAGCTGCTTGAAACTGAGCGTATACGATTCCTGGGCGCGCCGGGCGCCCTGCAGGAGTCAAATCACCAGCAGACGGAAACCTCGCCTGGCCCCCGGGACTCATCACTGCCTGACGCCTCGCCCGCGCGGCCTACATCTCCCACGCCCAGTTCCCCTACCCCAGCAGCTCGCGGACGCGCAGCCGAACGCAGATGGGGCCCTCGCTCTCCCTCATCATCACCTGCTCCCCAGCCACGGAAGCGTGGGCGGGAGGCGACTCCCGAGGTGCAGCCGCCGTTCCCTGATCCCCTGCCTCGCACACGCCCCAGCGAGTATCTGCGACGTCGGTGCCCAGCATGCTTTGGCACCTTGAAGCGCGA